TTATATCCTCGTGTAACCCCAACCAAGTGTTGTTGATCTTGTAGGCCCTGTCAACAAGAGTCCTAATGAGACCTACTTTGTATGAGTACGAGGTGAAGCAATTACACCAATTACACCATGTAAATCTAAAATTATCCTTTTAATTTACACCTTTTCACGTTCTGTTGTTACTATTTGTCTTAATTAGCATTTTTGCCTACTTATTATTCAACTTGCTTTGTAATCATTCATTCAACTGAAGATGACAGAAGTTCTGTCGAAACATCTTTTTTTAAACTTAAAAAAGTGGTCGTTTTCCTTAAAATCTTTACATGTCTGCTGCTATCTAGACCTTTTAATCAAATATGTTTTTTAATCAAATATGTCAAGATATGTTGTGGAGAATTGATAGTGGCTGTCAAACCAGCCGATTTATATATTAAAGAGGCTTTTCGCCAATAAATATATATAACTAACCATTTTTTTTCTTGATTTCGTAAGTGCATACATGCGCATATGGTCGCTACGCCCTTAATATTGGGAGCATAAAAACGCGAATGAAGACAGTTATGAATATTTGATAACAATGGCAGTTGCAAAAGAACACTAAAGAAACGAAATGTCATCATTCGGCATAGCCTGCGCATTCGTAGCATATTCAGCAGGGGCAAGTTTTAATACCGACAAACACACCGAATAGATCTAAATAAATGCAAAATTCCAAAATAAAAGAAAAACACACTTTTTAACTGGCGTCGTCCTCGCCGTCGTACATGCGTAAGGTCCCTATCTGTTTCGCTGAGCCATGTGCTTCAAGTCACGCAAACTGCACGAAAACGTGACAACATTACTACACTGAGAACTGCTTTAGTGATTGACTGGGCACGATGTTGCGAAACGACTGTCACTGTGAGCAGATTTATGTTTTTTTGTTTTTTTTTTGAGTAAAGAAGGCTATTTCTACAAAAGCGAAAATGTTTTTCGCCCATAGGATAGAATGACAACGTCGTTTCCAAGACCCTGAGAACGAGGCGGTGTAACTGTTTCGTTGATTAATATTAACTTCGTTTATTGCCATTTGATTATTTAATTAGTCGCGTGATTGACAGCCGATGGCGTAATCGCTAAGTAAGTTGATCATTAAGTTAGAATGACACGTTTTAAAAACCACGAAATCAGAGACAAAGGTCATAGAAGCGTTTTGTACCTTACGTTGAACGTCGCTAACCTGTAGTGTTTTACTGCTCGATCTGCTGACCCGTTTTGCTGACCTGTTACCGAAATAAGTTTGACTGGATATCGCCACAGAAGTAAGTGACCGTTTGTTTATGTAATCCGTTGAATTTTGAGAATTATATTTTCCATGCAATTTCATGAATCGCTCGCTATTAGGTTTTGTAAGAATTATGTATCTTATGTATCTTCTTTATAGATCGAATAAAACAATATAAAGATTATACGATTCCGTATCCAGTCATTCATCCGAATACCATCTTTTCCCCTGGACCAGTAACTTTGTTGTACACTGAAAGGCTGACCAGTACGTGAAAGACGTTTGGAGACTCCAACATGAATAGAACCGATAAAGAGAGGACAGCTGTTTCATCTTTATTGGGTCAGCTGTTACGTCCTTATTGGGACTATCGGCCTTGCAGTCTCTTGTTTGTCATCATAGTTTTTTTGGCTGATCAGATCTCATGTAGATCCTACGTTGGCAGCGTTTTTCGTATGCGGATCCTTGCAGTTTCTGGTTTCTCCATCTCGGTCGTTCAAATCCAAAGATGGCGGTCATATTGATCGAGGTACTTTATCAAAGTTGACCCCAAAATAAAAGTCAGTTCTTAAGATTTAGTGGTACGCGGCGACAACATTCCCCTAGCTGGTGAATTTCTTTATTCTCTTCAACGTGTTAATATCTTTAAATAAGTGGACCAACGCAGAAAAAATAAAATCGAGAAAAGTATCTTAATTTTTGACTTCTCTGTTCTCCAGCCCTACTTTCCAGAGAAAGTGAAAATGTTTAATATTCAATGTTTCAAATCAGATTTTTTTCTACTCCTTGATACAACACTGTTACTTATGGGAAGCACTCTCTGCGTTATGTAGGACCCAAATTATGGGGCAAACTGTCTATGGCTGACAGATCAGCCAAGACACTGCAGGCTTTTACAAACTATATTCGTAAAAGGCATATAACTCGCTTAATTGACACCGGCTGTAAGGGCTGCATCCTATGCTGCACATAATGCCCTTCTAGTCATTTACTTTTTTTTATTGTATTAATATTAGTATTAGTATAGTTTTTTAGCAGTGTTCCCTAATTAGTATGGTGTATCATTTCCAGGCTATAAGGTTTTTGACACTTTAATAAAGTTCTCACTCACTCACTCACGCCCTCGTAGTCTCCCGCGCGGTCCGTCACGCAATCTTCCAGAGGATGATTGCGTGACGAGCCCTAAGAGACCTAAGAGCGCGTGCGTAGGAGGCTGATCGCCCGCGCAGCTGTTTTAATTGGATCGTCACGCAGCGCCTCTCGTGAAGTGTAATATTCTTTATCTGGTTCTCTAGTTTCTTTATAGTAATTGTCTTTGTTTGAACAACTCTCTCCGGAAAGGAAGCCTAACTGTCGTTATTTCAATATAAATCTGCTAGCGGGAAGGCAAAACAACGAAATTAAATAATTTAACCTTCAGACTTATTAAGCGAAACAGGAAATTGGCTTTTTTGTAAATTAACAGGCGGCGTAAAAGTGGAGTGTCAACCTGCTGAACTCGATAGCTCGCGAATATGCATATAAAATAAAATTAAGTATGCCTTTTTTGAAAAAAGCTCATTTTTGACCACACACCTAGTAGAAAGCTGTCCGATGAGCTTAGCCAAAAAGACTCACTTTTGTTTGGTCAATTAGTTCGGGCACATTTTAATCTCGCTTAAAAGCAAAGAACGCAAAGGCAACAGCGTGAGATAATGGCTTTTCGCGCGGCTTTTAAGGACCCTGTAGACTGTACCATTAATATTTTACCAGCCTTTGGCGGCGGCGGGTTTTTAATTCGAGCTTGCCATTTTCTTTATTTTGAAAACATCAAAACAATATTTTTGAAAACATTGTCCAAGCGTACTGAAAAAGGAACATTTGATACGCTCAAACGTTGTGCTTTATTTGGAAAAGGAAAGAAATATTTATTTTAGAAGCGAAGCAATAACCTTTGTTGAAATTAACCATCGATATACATACACTGAATTCAGTATAGCGCGGACAAGAAACTCTGCATTAAAAAATTGACAGTTTAAAAGTTTCAGTTTAATTTTAATTTTGTCTACTGAGGCGTCACCAAGAACAACTGTTGTAAGGTCCGAACGATTCCTTTCGCTCAAATGAAGCTAAGTTTAAGTTTCAGTCAAACGCTTATAAATGAGTTCTTGATATACTACTATAAGTAGAAAGCTGTGACCCTGAGGTAACAGATAACAGAATGTTGAGGCGAATATCGAGAAGTTAAATGATTCAGTGACAGTTTTTAGTAATTTTACTAGCGTATCTCATCTTTTGTTGTATCCGAAGGCAGTATTTAAGATTACAATTTAAAACTTATTCTTGACGACTCCGTCAACCTTGTTTTTTAGCCAAGCTGTATTTCTGCAAACACACGCCATTTAACATCGCGTCAACTTTTGATGTAAATTTGGTTCCATCATGATAAATCCTCAATAACAATAATCTTCCAAGAAATTTGCAATTTTGAATTGCTAACAATTTATTCGCGACAATATCTTGGTATCAACTAATTCAAACTTCTGCTTCAATATTTTGCTTTTAATATCTTAAGACTTTTTCCTTCTTTATTTCATCGCGCGCTCAAAAGCGTAGGTTTTTGAACAGAAAATGATCGTCGGGGACCCTTATCTTGAATAACCACGCTTCGACTCGCTTTTTCTAATGGTTTAACTCTTTTATCCCGGCTTGCGTTCAAGGAATCTGAAATATTGACGTTTTTATGGTGACATTTTTGAATTTTGACCCTAAAGCGACTCTTTGGTAGCATTCTCGGTCGAAGTCGTTGAGGCGTTTGATCTTGAAAGCGAGTTTTTAAATTCGCAGATGTTCCAAGTACCTTGGTGTCTATGACAGAGTCTTTGATCGTGAAACTTTTCCTCAAAGGTATATATTGAATTCGAACGCTGTGCTTGTTCATGCCCGTAGTTTCTTTAACGTTTCTGCGATTTAAAGAGGAAGTGCTTGAATTTTCTCCACATCGACGATTTTCTAGCTTAGAAATGTTGTTGTCTTCGACGCGAAGTCCAAGCGAAGAACTTCTGTTTGACGCAGCTGATCGAGCTGTATTCCTGTTGGAGTCACAGTCAATTTGAAGCGAAGAAGTTCTCCGACCTTTTTCCTTGTGGGAAATATATTCTTTATCTAAACTGTTCGCCTTCTTCCACTCAGTGCTCAAGGAAGTATGAAGACAAGAGACGTACCTTGGTTTTGACTGGCTAACCTTTTCTTTCTTCGGTGCTTCTCTTGAAGTCTTATTCACGGTAGTATTTGTAGCAACAGGAATTTTAGGTGATACCTGCTTCGCTGCTGATCCAACAATATCTTTATCAATACTCGGCAAAACCACAATCTTGGGAATCTTCTCTTTGGGAATAATAGACAAAGAAGTCACGTATTTTCTTCTTTGAGCCGAATGGTTAGTTGTCGGGGACATTATTTTCGGTTGAACAGTCTTTGTGCCCACCGCGCGAGGAACACTCGAAGTTAGCGCGTTCCTTGTAAACACAGCAGTGACAGGCGCATGGTAATTTGTTGGCTTAGCTGAGACATCTCTTCCAAGTTTTGTCGTAGTAACATGGTAATAACCTTTTTGAACGCTCATTTCCGAAGATCCGAACCAAATATGTTATTTTCTTTCATAGATTTTCCATCGAGCTGACCCGATCATGTTGTGTAAATATGTTACCAGCCTGCTTGGTGCTTAATTGTTGTGTCACTGTGGCTTGACAGTTGATAATATATGTACAGCGGTCGTAAACTTAAACCTGACAAGTTCTATTTAGATCACAGTAGAATCGGCTGGCATATTGAATACAATTTTTTTCTGGCGAAAATTCTAATTTTTTTCCAAGAAAATACTCCCAGCGACAATGTGGTAGAGGCGGTTTTTAACACATACTTGTTATGCGAAACTCATTACACAAATGAATTTATTTTGGCTTAAATGAACTGGATGTTTTGTTCTCGTCAAAGGAGAGAATATTGGCCCGCCGGAGAAATTTGCATTTTATTTGAACGGGGACAAACTGGAACCTGTAGGCTTCCAATTAACACTAAAACGCCACACGTGCGAGGTGAGATGAACTTGAATTCATTTAGCACCATTTTCAAAGCGGATCACCACTAAAAGTAATTGCGATGAGATAAATGTTCCGGCTTACACGTATCATGTGTATATTAATGCACGTGGCTCGTTTCCAAGACAATTATTTCCTACCACTGTTCAGAGCACGGAATTTGGCGAAAAGTTAAAATTTTAATCAGCTCAAAAATGCTAAATTCGTCCATTCTGATCCCGGTTTGGAACGTATCATTTATATTCCGTTACAATGCTTGCAATGCTGCGATATTTTACCCGAGGATAGGCCGAAATCAAAATGTTTAAAAAAGAAGGCTTGTTGTACTTCAAGGGGCTTGGGCACTAGCACTAGTACTCGGTCCCAAACTATCCGCGTAGTTATCCGATACTTTCTAAACACGTCTGAGTTTTCTATTACAGAAAAAGGCGACAAAGGCAAGAAAATTAAATTCAATTTCCTCGTTTCTCAGTTTAAAGTAATAAAATGTTGTTAACTGGGCCGATCAGGGGAAAAAATAATAATGATAGTCGAAACGATCGACATCTACAGAATTAGATTTTTAAAACAAACCGTGTCATGGGCGGGTCACAATTCTCTGGTGGTTAATGTTTTCTTTCAAATTTTGACCTGCTGTAAATCGGTGCCAAAATTTCCTTAATTATCCAGAACAAGTATTATCCGAATTTAAATACAGAAATTGAATAGTACTACCAAAAATCAAAACTGGATTTGGCAAGGAAAGATGAAAAAAAAAACAGGTTACGGGAAAATGATGTTGAAACTGATGGGACTTAACTATAATTTCCAGAATTGCGAGGTTTCGGTTAAAATTGATTGATGTTGAAAAATAAAAGAGGACATTTTAGTGAACCAGTGAATTCCTCACAGAAAAGCGACGATGTGTATTAACATTTCAAACGGTTCTTGAGCCAAATAAAGCAAAAATTAGTTTCCGTGTCTATGAAAGTGACGATGTGTTGTTGAAACTTTACCAGTTAGTTCATCTGTTGATCCAATATTCACTGAACATCTCTTCCTAACTTACACACGGTGATGCATTCCTTTGTTCAGTTCTCTGTTGTCTTGTGCTTAGTTTCCCATAACGTAATTGTCTTTCCGCTTTGGTGAACTAAAAGCAAAACGCTATCATATTACAGTACTCTAAGGTGAAAACCGGGGATGAAAACGGCTTTAAACATCACGGTCATCACGCAAAATGCGCGATTTAGAAAAGCCAAACTAGATTTGAAAATATCCTCCAATTTAAAAGTCTATACTATTTCCAAATTTCTTTTTTAGCATTTATTGAATTATTTCAGTTTTAGGTGAAATCCTTCAAGTTTTGTTGGTACTTTTAAAACCATTGGTGCGTGTAAGTTGTTTGATTATTTTACGATCAAAGCAGTTAAGCTTAGCTTTACCAACAACGAAAGTTCCAAACAGGGAATTTCTTCATCACAAAAAAGAGAGGAAGATTAGAGACCAAAATGTTACGAGATATGACTTGATATAGCAGTGTTTAGATGATTTATTTGAAATACATAAATTCAGCGATTTCTTGGAGTAATGCTCAGATATTTAAGTAATTAAAACCATGAAAAGAGTTTGACTTTTCAAAAGGAAAAAATGGCGAATCGTGAAGACTGAAGTGCTTTACACTTAAAGCTCATGAGTTTATCGCTCTACTGATCCATGACCTCAACCGCGGCTGCTGATTGGCTGCCGAGTGACAACAGAAACCAATCCAACTTTAATGAGCCAGTGGTCCATGAAGTAATGATGATTCCTGATCAATGAGCTCATGAACTGTCCAATAAGAAAGCCTTGTTGATGAAAAGACTCACAGAAATCCACCGGGTGTTTTGCTTTAGCGTCATGACGTCATGAAGGAAGAAACAAACGGCCGCTTGGCTCCTGGCTTCGATGTTCAACAACCTTTAAAACAACTAAACACCATGCGGTGCGAGAAAGAAACTTACCCACTCTACGAGAAAAAAGTCGTGGGAAACATCCAGCCAAAAGAAGAACCAAAAAATGAAGAAAAAAGAAAGTTTCTTCGAGTCATCGTCACTTCTCTCATGTACGTTCTTGAACCGATACTGCCAGACGACGGAGTCAAAGGAGATGGAAAAATCGCAAGTTTATTGTATCTGATTTGTCTGACAACAGCAGGGGTGGTGTTCAATCTTTCTAAATGGCTCCAAGATGACTCCAAAGCCGACTCAGGCGTTACAGCCGATCACATTGATGGATTTCTTATCACTTGCATTTGCCCAGCGCTTCTGTGGATCTGCTACATCTTCTGTAAACAAAGCGATCGTAAGACCGTGGATTTTATCACACCCTCGCCTCACTCACACAGACCTCTCATGGCTGGAGCCTATGTTTTTGGCGCGGGAAGCTGTGTTATGGATCTTCTTCATATTACTTTTTATATTGAATGCTCTTCGAACTTATCCAGCCTATTTTTCTCAATTTTTAAGGCTGTTTTCATCTTTGCGCAAATTCTATTTTTACGCAAATTTGCCACGGCCACCCTCCACAAATCACCAAGCATTCGACTTGTACTTTTCCACATACTTGGCACCAACGTGTGCCTGTGGTTTCGCGCGCTTTTTAGCCATTCAAAAAGCATCTTTAGTACGCGTAGAACACTCGAAGATTTAAGCACACGCGAAGAGAACGCTTGCTTTGCAAATCACTACTCTATGAAAAAGATTTGGGAGGCGTCCGAACCTTATTTATATCCGTTTACGATGGAATATTCGCTAATTGCGGGTGGCATCTTGTACACCATGTGGAGCGGGATGCGGGATCTCGATCCCGACCCGCAAGATATTTATATCTATGACGAGCTCTCGGATTTTAATACGACTACGGATAATCTTAGCGAACGATTAGAGAAATTTGAACACGATCACGGGTATGGAACCTGCGAGGCTACTACTCCGTCAAGGGATTCCGTGTCCAGTGGAAGATTTTCCAGCCGTTTCTCGCTAAACAGAGCCATGTCAAATTCATCGATATGTCAATCATGTGTCGAGAACCAGGATACACTTCGCCTACACGCCATCCCTAGCTCGGACCCAGGTCTTTTAATAGGCCTTTTGTTCTCGATCGTTTTGCTTCTCGCAGTTGGATTGCTGTGGGTTGACCGCGACTCCATAAACGCACTGAAGTTTTATTATCTTTATCAAATAATATTGCTGGTGTTTATGTGTGTTGCCTGCTGGGTGGTGTTGCGTTGTTTGATGAATCAAAAATTCACCTGGTATCCTTTCGGAGCGGATGACACGCTGTTAATCGTATCTTTCACTGGAATGTTTCTTTACGCGGGTTTATGCCTCACCGCCACCATCGCCGAAATCAGGAATCACCGTTACGCTTCAGACTTCTCCCTCGCTAAATCAACTCTGATTCTTTTTCAAGCCATGCTGCAAGCCACGGCTCTCATAAAAGCACTTCGCTTCAGACCGCTCAAGGAACTGGGAGCGAATATCGTCCGACAAGGAACGCTGTTTCTGCTGACCACGAACGTGGCACTATGGGCGCAGGATTCGTTCTTCGAAATGCGCAACTTTGCGACCACACCAATTCAGACGGTGTTTTACGGTGAGACTTCGTGGAGAGCAATAACTACCTTAGCTTATCCTTTATGCATTTTCTTCCGCTTTCATTCTGCAGCTTGCCTGTTTGAGGTTTGGTCTTGCTTTAGAGTAAATAATTTAAGCTAGAAAAATCATTAGTCTTAATGTAGTTAAGGAACAGGCACCTTCTGAGGGCAAGATTTTGACTGAGAGAGCAGTCCCTGTCAGCTGTTGCTAGGCAACATGACGTAATCTCATTTCGTAATGCTGACGTGATTGTTCTCGGAGAACACGTCAACGTTCGCTCTAGATTTTGATTGGATAATAATAATCCGAAAAATTTCCGAGTGTTTCAACGAAGATTGGTTCAAAAACGGTACTCGTTCCTTCATCTGTAATCCCGGCTCATGTTAGTGGAAATCTTTCATATCTTTCATGATCTATCTACTGCAAATCGTCAACTTACTCGGCACGTATACAACTCAAAATCATTTCTAGTTTCAAGAAAAAAATGAACAAAGTAGCGACTATAGACTTTTTATTCAATAAGCAGTTTGATAGACTGAGAAAATTTCCACTATCATGGACGTCTGGGTCACTCATGAAAAAATTCATTCTCGTGGTCTTTTTGTTCAACAGAATCTTTCTCGTTTTCCAAGCATAAAACCTCGAGGTCTTGGAAGCTAACACAGCCGTCTCTCGTTCCCAGGGTCTCTTGTCTTCCCGCCTAGGGAAGACGAGAGACCCTGGGAACGAGGTTGTTTCACACAATCACGTTTACGCTATATATAAGAAGTAATTTTGCATGGGAAATTTGTTTCACAAGTCATATTCGGCAAAACCGTCTAGCTAAGTTTGGCAAGAGGTCTCTCCTAGCCTTGAATATTACAGCTTTGCGTGGAAACGAAAAGAATGAAAATCGTTTTATATTCCAGGTCTTTATTTACTAGACAATTCAAAGCTCATTTCTTTATGCCAGTGTTTTTTTTTTAAAGATTACTAACCAAGATTGCTAATCTCGTTCAAATTTTGTTATGTTATATTATCAACCAAAAAACGCTTAAAGCTAATTCATGTATATATTTTCAAGTATTTATTCTAGGTTTCAGAAACCATTTTCAACAATAACTGATTTTATTCGCTCAGGAGGGCGATGATTTCCCCTTGGATAATTTAAGGCAAGATAGATACGCTGTCAAATTGGCGATTTTGTAGTTCTAAATCTTTTCGGTAAATTTTAGTGAGGATCATTTATACTTGTAGCATGGTATTTTTACCTTTTATTTATACCTTACTCATGTGCACTGAGTTTATAATTCATATTTTAAGACTTATTTTCAGCCGACGTAACGTATTTACCGTGCGATAAGGCAAGTGACTACGTAGGGTAAGATATTTTCCATATTGTTTTGACGATAAAGCGATTAATCTGTAAATATCTATGGATATACTCGGTAAAATTAATCAGTTTTTCTTTTGAGCGAAAAATTTCGGAGACGCTATTTTCTCTAGGAATGATAAAGCTTTAGAATCGTTTTGTAACAAAAATGTTCCGGAAACAACAGTTGCACTAGCCATAGCTGCGTCATAACAGCAATGAACACTTCATTATCTAAAAAGAAACTCTATAGAGACTGACTTACAACTGGAATGACTGACTGACTTAGGACAGACGTTTTGACTTTACAAACAGCTGCAGAGGGTTCGCAGATGTCACTTCATACAAAATATCTTTTCACAAACATTAAAGAGTAAATTATTGAGATTAGCCGGCCGACTTCAAGACAGACACAGACAACAATATGACCACACGACTGGTTGCTAATAACTGACGCGATATATACATTGCCCACTTGACAAGGATATTTAAGGACTGATCATAACTGTGTGACAAGCAGACAGACAGACACGCTGACACAGGCTGGTGTACTGATTGACTGAATGATTGAGCATTATGCTAAAGACTAAAAGACCGCTGATCAAATCAACAAGTTGATGACCATCTGACTGAATAACTAGATGCCTGACTGACCAGGCTAACTGACAGACCAACCAACTTGACTTGCTTCTGGACTATATAGTCAACCGACCGACCGACAGCCAGACATATTGATTAACTGACGGAACGACTGGCTTGACCCACCAACTACAGACTGACTGTCTCACAGACTGACCTTCTGACTAACTGACCGTCTGACAGACTGTCTGTCTGCTGGCATGGCTGACCGACGGTCTCGGCCGCTCAATTATAGGCTGGCTTACTGAATGTATTCAAGGACTAACTAGCCCACTGTTTGAAACCAACCGACCAACAATGAGTAAACTGAACTAACTAATCATATAGACAAACTAACTAACGATCGACTGATCTACTCCATGTAAAGTGGTTGATTGACTGGCCAGCTACCTATCAGCATAACTGGCTTATCGACGAACAGACGAATTAGCGGAGTGAATAATAAACTTAATGATTGACCGTCTTCCCTACATGCCCGGCTGTTTGAAAGGAGATCGAAAGCTAATCTTGGATTAAAGGTTAGCCCAGGTTTCTTTCCTCTTGTTTAAAAGAGATTTTTATGACTAGTTTTAAATTATAGTTTGGTAGTAGTCAAATGACAACTCAAACAGAAGTCTTTATTTCTAATTTTCAAATTGGCATAAATCCTGGATTACTGGCTTCAGCTGACCTCGCTTTGTTTAACAACCGGGCTCTGGGGATAAGCACTTAAAAAAGCTGTTGACCGAACGAACTGAATCTGACAAAACGAATGATTAACATACATACAATGCTGAACATCTACCTACTTTACGCTTACTGAATTGTACTACATACACTGACTGCTGTGACAATCTTTTGATAACTACAGAAGCTAACACTTGCGTGACTGTCTCACCGTGACTTAACTTAATACTGACTACTGGGTATCTACTGTGTACGCTGATAACGCTATTAATGACTACCCGACTGAGCTTTACATCACTGAAGTTGAGAAAACGATGGATTAACCTGTTAACTAGCTTAAACGTTTCTTAAATCGATGAATAAAGGCATTTGGCTGATACGGCATTCAGATCGAACGACTGTGAGACAGACTCACTAACTGACGGACAGACAGACAGACAGACAGATTCAAGAGGCCGGGAAAGACAGTCACACTGATAGATTACTGATTATTATCATTATTATCACAGACACACACCCACTTACTTCAGGTGTGTGCTGTCTTACTGTAACTAACCATACTGACTGAGTGAAGGTTTTCTCTTACTATAAAAGCTTAACAAACTGACAAAATAACAAACCGACACACCGATTGTTGTATTCACTGATGCTCTAACCTTTTTCTAACACAGAGAGTTCAGAGTGACTTCATTAAAGAGAGCAACCTGTAATAGACTGAACCATGCAATTACTGAACGACCGACTGAATCACAAAGTCAACTTGCACAAGACAAACTAGACAACAGTCAAAAGTGAAACCAAAATACTATTCTAACTACTCCCTTCCTGAACTTCTTACTGATGGACTACAAGAGTGACTGAACGAACTTTACTAACGGACTTAATGGTTGTTTGACTTAACAACTAAATGGGTAATTCAGTGACTGACGATATGACCCTCCGATGAAAATCCAGTTGACTTTATAATGAGTACTAAAGTAATCGAATGAGGATATTACTTATTGACTGACTAACTGACTGACTGACTGATGTTTGTTTGGTTGACACTATTGACCGATTGACTCTCTGACCGACCGACTAACTGACGTACTGACTGACTGCCGGACTGACTGACTGACTGACCTACTGACTGACTAACTGACTGATTAAATGACGGACTGACTGATTTGACTAAATTACTGACTGACTGACTGACTGAATGACTAACTGAGTGACCTATTGACTCACTGACTGACGGACTGAATGACTGATCGATTGTCTGACTGACTGACTGACTGACTGACTGGGTGATTGACGGTCTGCCTGATTTATCGACCGACGGGCTAGAAGTCAGACAGTCGCTCAAACATTCATACTTAACAAGTACTAACTGACGATCTTAAAAACTTACAAACCAACATTCTGACTGTCTGACGGACTGACTAACTGACTTACTGACTGACTGACTTACTGACTGACTGACTGACTGACTGACTGACTAACTGACTGACTGACTGTGACTGACTAACTGACTAACTGACTAACTGTTTCACTGACTGACTGACTGACTAACTGACTGACTGTCTGACTAACTGATTGACTGACTGACTAACTGACTGACTGACTGACTGGTTAAATTGCTAGCTTTGTGAAATGACTAACTAACTGACTGACTTGGAAACTGAGTAACTGACTGACTTACTGAATGGATTCACTAACTGACTAACACACAGATTAATGGACACAGGAATAGCTAACTGACTGAATTGACGACCAGGTAAGACATAAGGCTGACGCTCGAGCGCTTGAGCTGTTTAATGACAAAACGTCGCGTTTATTAACTTTCCCTTATTTTAATCCCTTCATGACTGAATATCTGACCGCCTGACTGTATGGTGGACGGAATGCCTAACTGAGTGGCGGACTCACTATCTGTCTGACGGACTCACCTACTGTGACTGACTGCATGACAGATGTACTGACTGTGACTCACTGCCTACTATGAGTCACTAACTAGCTGACTGAGAGACAGACTGAATGACTGACTAAATGACTGGCCAACTTACAGACTGACTGGCTGACTGAGTGACTGACTGACTTACGGCTTCGCTGTCTGAATAGCTGATTGACTTTCTAGACTGAATGACTGACTGACGGACTGACGGACTTGCTTTCTGACTAACTGACTGACAGACTGAATAGGGAGTTTACGAAAAGCATAACGGCAATGGGAAGGACACTAAACAAGAGATTTAATGAGCAGAGCAATGGCCGTACCGTGCATCATAATTCTTCATACATGTCTTAGCGATTCTCTGTAAAACAACAACGTGAAATAACCAAATTCGGCGTTGTCTGGAGAACGTGAACCACGCCGGCTAATTTGTTAAATTTCTATTTGGAATTTAACCTTATGTTCCATATTTTTGACAAAAAGAAACAAAGTAAATGACATTAGAGTATAACGAGATTCGTAGGCAAAGTATATATTCATTTTTCACTCGACGTTGTTCCCGGTGTCGCCGTCGTGGTTACTACTTAAACTCCCTACTGACTGACTCACTCCAGCCTGGCTCACTCAATGCCTGACTGACTGATCGACTGACTTACTGTGACTGACTGAGTGACTGACTGACTGACTGACTGACTGTCTCCCGGACTCACTCACTGCCTGACTGACTGATTGACTGACTTATTGTGACTGACTCGCAGACTCACTTTCTAGACTGACTGCATTACCAAAGTTTTGATGCACTATTTTTTTTTTATTAAACTGATCCCAAGAGCTGTGTAGATAGTTAATTCATAGCCCGAAGATAACTCATAAAAATCTCATTGAACTTACGACCGATGAACAGCCTACAAACTGCAGACTGACTGACACAATAAGTGTTTGGAAACAAAATAAAAGCCACCTGAACGACTAAATTATAGACTGACAAAATGACAGAGAAAGGCAAAGACAGACAGACAGACAGACAGACAGACGAACGAGGCGAGAGGTGTAAAACAACTACGATAAAAATGTATCTAAAGCTTGATGTTGGACTTAGGACCACTCTGAGAAATTAAAACAAGCAACTGAAAAGACTACAGAAAGATTTACTGACTGAATTCTAAATATTTTATATGAAACCTGAGTACCAATATATGTGACTGCCATCAATCAAAAGACATATTTTAAAATTGGGTCATACAGACACATCCAGCCAACCAGAAAAACAGACAGAAAAAAATTGTTGAATGGACAGAAACACTGACAGATAGACGGAATGTCAGACAGACAAAATTACGGACGCACGGAAACAGAGAGACAGACAGACAAACTGACGAATAGAAAGAGACACTGACAAATGGACCGACTGTAAGGTACACAAAATGACGGACGAACAGAAACAGACAGACAGACAGACAGACAAAATGACGAATAGAAAGAAATACTGACATATAGACTGACTGTCAGGTACACAAAACGACGGACGCACAGAAACAGACAGTCAGACAAAATGACGAATAGAAAGAAACACTGAGAGAAGGACGGACCGCCAGACACACAAAATGGCGGACGCAGAGAAACACACCAACAGAAAGAAAAAAGGGTGAATGGGAAGATACACTGACAGATAGACGGATTGTCAGACAGACAGACAGACAGACACAAAATGACGTACGGAAAGAAACACTGACCGATAGACAGACTGTCAGACAGAAAGACCGACCTAGACACATACAGACTTACTGGTAGACAGACAGACAGACAGACAAACAGACACGGACAGATACACGAACACACAGAGATACACGCACCATAACAATGTAATCGCATGATGTGGATAAGTGGCAAACTGAAGGACTTACTCTACTGTCTAACTGATACAGAGGACAAGTTAACGGCAACGAAACGCTTGAGTCACTCAGTGACTATACAACGTTTTATTTTACGTAAATTTCAACTAACTGATTCTTACATGACGTACTTAGTTACTGCCCAGCTGAATTGAACTGTTCGCAACAGAAACGTCAGACGCAGAATTGATAACGTTCACACAGCTTCATGCAAAGGGTCTCACAATGAAACCGGTCAAGTCATAAGATCATGAACTCGTATATATACCGCATTGTCGACAATTATGTTAAATTGACTGAAGTCTTTCATCATAAAGCTGGCATTTCATAAAACGTTCAATTGCAGTACAAAGACGTGAAGAATAACTGACTGACGGAAGGACGGACAGTAGATAGGCAGACAGACTATTAACTTTAAAGACGCACTAAACAAACAACTATATGACTGACCGTCTATTGAACTGATTAACTTGCGGACATGAGGTCCAACAATAAGGCTGAAATCGACCGACAAATTACGCACTCCATAAATACTTAAAATTATCGACGTGTATGTAAGATTCACTAAAATACTTTTACACTTGACGACAAACGTTGACTCCCTGACGGACGGAATTACTCAGTTTCACTAGACACAAACGTACTGAAATCAGACTGACATAGACTGTGACAAACAAATAGGGACATACAGACAGCTAGGCAGACAGACAACTGGACGGAAAATAACCATGTGACAACTTTAAATCACTGGACTGACTGTGTAATGTACACAGACAGACAGACAGACAGATTGACTGACCGACAGACAGACTGACAGACAGACACCGAGTTACAGGCTTGTGTCTCGATTTCAACCATTGTTTGCACCAACTTTGGACGTTCCATTTACATAAAACTGACAAACTGAATATATATATATATTTTTTACCTAGAACTGATTGATCGACCAACATTACCGGCCAGTGACCGACGGTATCGACAGTGCAAAAGGCCTGTTTGATAAACTGACTGATTACTGACTTTCGTGATAAGGGCCTGTTAGAATGAAAACTTCAGCACAAAACAGAATTACCACATGTACCCACTAACAATAATTGACCACTCTATAGAGGGATTAGACATAGTTCATTTATTTATCCTATATTCGCAAAACGTACTTCACGAATCAGTTATTGACTGTCCAATGGACTTAACAACTGTTTGACTGATTGACATAGCCGCCACAGACAAAATTACTGCTAAACTAAGACTAAACTAACTAAACGGTATTCATTTTAGGTCATTCCTCACATTTGCATTGCGCATCCTTACTGCGCATAATTTATGGCGTCATTAGCGCGCGCCCGTGCACGCACATATTGAAAACATGACGGATTTGCCTTGATATTGAGCTCTGTCAGTTGAAAAATGGCTCTAGCTCACCAACGAGCACAGGCACCCCA